GGAGAAAAGCCGGGGGGGGGGGGGGTGGGGGGGTTTCAGAAAAAAATGTGGCATCATTTCCCAATCCCTCTGACATCCGCAGGGGCTGAGGGAGCTTGGTGGAGGCTGGAACCAACTTGTAACTCTGATCTTTCCCTGTGACTCTCCAGTTCTGCAGCTGGCTAGAGCAGAATCAGAGGGCAGAGGCCTGAGTGTGCGTCTTAGGGCATACACTGCCAAGGGATGGGGGGATTCTCTTGGGGCAAGGAAACAGGGATGATGTTACTGCTTCCAGGGCCTTGAGAAAGGACATTTCAGATCTACTGCCTCCCCCACAATGGGCACCTTATACCTGCATCTGGCGAGGAACTGTCTCCTGCTCCCCATCCAGCACCAAAGATTCCTCCCCCAGCACCTCTGATCCTCACCCCCACTAACCACCCCCCACTCACTGGCACTTCAGCTTCCCCCCACCCTTTAGGAACTGCTTCCATCCTGGCACCTCCCCAGATTCCCTCCCGCAAGCTAGGGACTGTTTGCACTTCAGCTCTGCCTCTCCGAGGAAACCACTCTCCTCATGAGCCTGCTTCTCCCACTGCTGAACGCTGGATGCTCTACAGCGCCTGAGTCTCTCCCTAGTGCCAAGGTGGGTGGTCATTTGTAGGGGCGGGCAGGGACGAGGGCTGGTTGCAATCTCCGCCACTGATGGGGAAGGCAGGCTGGGCGTTGGGTGGGGCGGGCGGCAGAGCTAGCGCCCAGCCTTACCTGCTGGGTAGCGCTCGTTGACAGGCCAGTTGTCCACCTGCAGTGTGGCATTGCCTCCACTCCGGGTGAAGCGCACCACGTGGTACTTGCCGTCGTTCACCATCGCATTGGTCTCCTCAATGGTGATGTCATCCGTACCCACGTTGAAGATGACCCCGATTGTGCCTTGGTCCTGGTGGAGGGGGAGGAGAGACATCAGAGAAGGGGGTGAGGGTGGGAGATGACAGACAGGATTCCTGGGATCTAGCCTCAGTTCTGGGAAGGGCATGAGGCCTAGCAGGTTAGAATGGGGAGGGGTGGGCGGGTGTCACACTCCTGGGCTGGATCCAGGCTCCAGGAGGGGATGAGACTTGGTGCTTTGAGCAGGCGGGCATCACTCCCCTCTCCCAACCCCGTCTTCCCCATGCAATGAGTCTGTCTCCCACGTGGCAGCAGCATCACTGCTCAGGCAAGGATTTTCAAGGCCAGGGCTGAGAAGCAGCTGTGTCTGGGGAGAAGCATGAGGGCTGTTCCAATGTCACACAGCAGTTCTGCAGGTGAGGGAGGGTCCCTGGCTGATTTTAGGGAACCCAAAAGGAATGATGTGAGTGATTGGCCAGGGCACCTGAGTTAATACCCTGCACAAGTCTGAAAGAGCTTGGTTTGCTATTTCACTTGAAAGATGGGTCACACCATAACAGAGCTCCTATTCAGCTGCACCCCAATCCCAGCCCCACTGCTCCCCTCCAGCCACCCACCCCACAGCAACCCTCCAGCCCCACCATGCCAGTCTTCTGCCCCACCAGCCCCGCTCTCCACTCCCAGCAGCACAGTGTCCCTCCAGCCCCAGAGTACGGTGCCCTTCCATTCCCCCGTCCCTGCAGCACAGCGCTCCTCCAGGCCGTGGGCCCCACCTCCAGCGGCTCTGTACAGCACTGAGCCCCACCTCACTGCCCCTTGCACAGTTCCCCCTATGGCCCCACTCCCCACAGCACAGTGCCCCCTAGCGCCACACTGGGGTTAGCAATGACTGCGTGGGAAGAGCGCCACCTTCCTGTAGGCCAGTGCCCAGCAGTGTTGCATTGTGGACAGCAGTGAGCATGAGGGGAGAGCAACCCTGACTGAGTGCCCCCCAAAGACTCCACTCCAAGCCCCAAATGGCTTTTGCCCCTGGCTTAGCAAACCATGAGACGAGGTGACCAGAGATACACAAGAGAGCGCTGACCAAAGAGAAATGCAGGCTGGGACTCAAAAATCTTGGTGTGCAGGGGGATGGGACGCGTTAGCCAACTGCGAGGGAGATCCATTCCTAGCAGCCTCCCCACCCCATGGCTCAGATCTAGGGCCAGAGTCCCCTCTCTCTTACACCAGGCTAACTGAGGAGTAAAGGAGGATTTGCTGGTGCCCAGAGTGACCTGGGCTAACGAGGCAACAGAAAGTCCTCCCCAAGACAGGGATAGCACTTGGCATCCAGCCTCTCTGAACTAGACCCCACTCCCTCCCAGAGCTGGAGACAGAACTCAGGAGTCCTGTTTTTCTCCCCTACACTGATTCACTAATCCCCTAATGGTTCCTGCCCCTCTCTGGCTAATTCACTTGGGCTGCAGAGTAATCAAAGCCCCTTTAATCCAGTTCCTGGAGCCATCGATTGAAATTTCAGCCCTAAGCTCGTTTGCGTCGTCAATACGCTAACGATCAGGGCCCGTCTGCGGCAGAGTGGGAATGGATCCAGCCCCAGAGCCAGGCACAGCACTGCACATGGCCTGGGAGCCACTGGCTTTCACCTGCTATCTCAGCCTTAAGGTGGGGGGGGGTCTGACTCTCCCACTCTGGTCATGTGCATGTGTATGTTTCTCTGTGCTAGCATTTGTGCGTCTCTTGGTGTTTGTCCGAGAGCATATGTCTGATCATCTCTGAGTGTGTGTGCTTGTCTGTGCCTGTCTGGGAGTGTACACGTGTGTGTCTGGGACTGTGGGCATTTCCATCTCCGCGTGCAGGCATGTCTGGGACTGTGTATGTTTCTGTATAAGTGCATGTGTCTGGATTTGTGTGTGGTTTTGTTATCTCACTGCACGTGTGTGTCTTGGACTGTGCATATTTCAGTTATCTCTGTGCACGCGTGTCTGGGACTGAGAGTGTATTTCTGTTATCTCTGTGTGCGTACTCTGTGTTTTCACTGGTCAGTCACAGACAGCTGTCCCCTCTGGACTGGCACTGCCATGGAGTTATGAAGATCTTGAAATAAATGATGGAGATCCCTGTGCTTATAAGGTCACAGATTCACACTGGATGGGATGCCGGGTACTGCTCTTGACGCCAACTGGGGCACACAGCCAGCATGCCAGGCAGGGCCTCACTAGCCCAGAGCACCAGGGGCTGTATGGGAAGGATTCAGACCGAATGAATCTGTGACTAGCCACTGCAACATCTGCATCTGCCCCAGTGAGTCCCAGCCCCAGTACAGTCTAGCCTCTCTCTCAGTGGCTAGTGGCTAGAGCATGGGGCTTGGGTGTTTTAGCCCCAGCTCTGCCACTAAATTCCTGCAGGAGCTTAACTAGGGCCCACGACTGAGCCATGGTGGATCCCAGATGGTTTTAACCCAGTCTGGTTTGGGATTGTTTTCTCTTTCGCGTATTTTTTGGCCCGTTTGATTCTGAAACTTTGATCTCCCCCTCCGGATCCCGTCACACCCTGGAAGCAGTCCCTGGCAGAAAATCTGCCTCCCAGGCCTGGGCCGCCTCAGAAAGCTGAGCCACCAAAAACAGATGTGCAGCCTCTGCTGCCCTTGCAGCTGGGGGCTGGTGTAGCACTAAAGGGTTACAGTGCTAACTGGTGCTTAACAGCACATGGCAGGATGGGCTGCTGTGTCCCAGCTATTATGGCACCTCATGCTGCTTATTAGAGCTGTGGATGTAATTACTGCGTTACATGGGGGTTATTATAGCACGAGGGGGTGGAAGTAATGCCTTGCCTACTGTGTTTGCAGGAGCAATGTGGGATATGGCAGTGCCCTGGGGGACAAGAGCTGGGCTGGCAGGATTACATTAAGAGAGCTGGCATGACTGCACCTGGGGGGGGGAGAGGAGAGGAGACTGGCAATGCATGCAGCGTGCAACAGCAGGGCATTATATGCATGATGAACCTCCGCCACAAGGCACTGAATGTTGCACCACCAAAGCAATACATGTGCCATGCAGTGTTAGGGAGATGCATGAAATTTGCAATTACAGGGTATTATGCGGAAAATGGACCTCTGGGTCAATGAATGGGACAGGCAGTACCAGGGTGTTACTAGAAATACTGACCACCAGAGCAATGCATGGAGTCCTGCATCAGTGAGGTACAGCATGTAGGGCATGACATGCAACATGGAGTCAGTATTTGTAACAGGGCTTGCTGGTGCAGTATATGCAGAATGCTACTGCAGAGCCCAGGTATGCAATAACGTGAAGCCAGAGCAGACGCAGGATGGACCATGGGGCCAGTGTGTACAATGCAGAGCCACTGGATTAGTATATACGGTATGCACTGCTGAGCAAGGCACACAATAATGCAACATTAAAGCAGCACATAGAATATGATCACTGGGTCGGTATGCATAATACCGACCACTGGGGCAATGCATGCGCTCTGTGATCCCATCTCAGCATTCACTCTGGGCCCCTTCGCAGTGACTGCTCTCCTGCCACAGCTACTAGGGTAGAACATCCAGGGAGCCCAAAGAATATGGTGAGGGGTGCCCCTTGGGTACCTGGCATGGTATGCACCCCTAAGCTCTTCAGGAGCAGAGGGGCTGACAGTGCTGCAGAGATGACTCACTGCAGGGTGGCAGTGACTGCTCACATTGCAAGCATGGCCTGTTCTCCTGCCTCCTCTCCATCTGCCCCCCTCACCAGCCAGCAGTGCACTTTCATCCCAGAGCTCTGAGCAATAGGCCAGTCACAGTGATTGGCTAACTGGTACCAGCACTAGAGTACCCCGTGGGGGAGGAGAACCACCCAGCCCACTGGGAACGGAGATGCATCTGGCCCCCTGCTGGACCTGCTCCCAGGGGTTCTAATGGGTCTCAGTTCTGCCTCAAAGTGGTGTGGAGTAGTGTGGCGTGGGGTAAGATTTTGCCTATGGAACTCATTCAGTGCCATACAATAGCTGGGCTGAGTTGCAGCTGCATCTGAGGTGGAGCAAGGGGGATTAGAGTTCGGCCACGTTACCCCAAGTGGCAGAAGCACATGCTATGTCTCAGCTGGGTGCATGCTGGACCTTCAAGTTGGGCATGGGGGTGTTGCAGATGCCTCTTGGAGAGAGGAATCCCACCTGCTGCTTGGTGTTATGAGAGCTGGTGGGAAGAGGGGCGTGTTAGCAATAGGGACGTGAACAACTAGTTGACTATCCGAAAAGCAAATGCTTATTGGATAGTCGACAAGCTAGTTGACTAGTTGCTTCCCCCCACCTTCTCGCTGCGTCTATTAGAAAGAGGCGGCAAGAGGTGGGGGGGGAGAGAAGAGGGGTGGTTCAAAGTGGCAGTGCTGCAGAGAGCCTGGGGCCAGACCCTGGGCTCCACGTGGCACTGCTGCTTGGAAACACTGTGTGCAGCCCAGGCCAGTTGGGGACTCCCAGCTTGCCCCAGGCTGCACACGACATTTCAAAGTGGCAGTGCCGCAGGGTCTGCTGCTTTGAAATGTCACATGCAGCCTGGGGTCCCCAGCTAGCCACAGGCTGCATGTGGCATTTCAAAGCAGCAGCACCAAGTGAAGCCTGGGGTCAGCTGGGGACTCCCCCACCGACCCTGGGCTCCATTGGCCGCTGCCACTTTGAAACACTTTGGGGAGCTTGATGCCGGGCTCCCCGCGGCATTTCAAAGTGGCAGTGCCACCTGGAGCCCTACTGACCCTGGGCTCCATGCGGTACTGCCACTTTGAAATGCTGTGTGAAGCATGGGGCCAGTGGGGCACTGCTTGAGTCCACTGCTGGCCCTGTGCTTCACACAGCGCTTTCACCTCTGAAGTATAGCATCAGCCCTGGGGCTGTTGCTAAACTTCAAAGGCAGAGGCGCCCTATCGACTAATCGAATAGTCAATGTAAATTGCATCAACTATTCGATTAGCTAATTAATTTCAAGTTTACATCCCTAGTTAGCAAATAGGTCACTGGAGTCAGCGGAAAGGCACCTCCTGCGTTAGTCCCCAGATGCCA